ATATAGGCAAGTGGCTGGTATCGACTATAACGAGACTTATACTCTAGTGGTTAATTGGACTACTATTCGTACCGTCCTGGCATTCGCTGCTGTACAGGATATGATTATTCACCAGTTAGACATTGTTACTGCCTTTCTGGCTGCACTGCTTGATAAGGTTATATACCTACAACTTCCGAGTGGTACTATTGTACGACTTCTTCGCTCCATATATAGATTGAAGCAGTCTCCGCGCTAGTAGTTTGGAACCTTCCACAGTTTTTCTCTTAGTGTCGACCTCAAGCAGTCTACAGTCATTCATGGTTTCTACCTTACACCAGCCGGAAGCTATTTACTACTCTATGTAGATGACATTGTTCTTTGTGGCACCTCAGATGAGGTGACAAATCTGCTTTCACTATTTAACCAGCAATTCGAGATTAAAGACCTGGGTGACATTGAGTACCTTCTGGGTATTAAGATTACAAGGAATAGGCAACATCAGTCAATTTCCCTATCGCAGGAACTTTATTTAACCAAGGTTTTGGAGCGTTTCAACCTTTCTGATACCAGTGTCCATGACCAAACAACTCCAATGGATGTTAGTTTTGACAGCTCACCTGGTATTATGGATGGTGAACCTGCGGATCCAATGCTTTACTGTTCGGCTATTGGCTCTGTTATGTATGCGATGCTTGTTACTCGACCAGATATAGCCTACTTGATTTCCATACTTGCACAATTTAGTCAATCGCCTACATAGCATCATTGGCGTGCACTAAAACACCTCCTCCGTTATCTTCAAACTACTAAGGATTTTAAACTTACCTATTATACCCCCGCCTCTGATGGGTCTACTCTTCCTACTGCGAGCGTTTATAGTGATGCTAGCTATACTTGAGAATACCACCGCCATAGTATTCAGGGGTATCTAGCACTAGTATCTGGTGTCCCAGTCTCCTGGCATGCAAGTAAGCAGTCATTGATAGCGACTTCGACGAATGAGGCCGAATTTATTGTACTATCTACTGCTGGGAAGGAAGCCCTTTGGCTCCGCTCACTACTGCACCAACTCCACCCTCTACACTTGGCACGAGCAAGTGATGCAGCTCCTACTATCACTCTATTTACTGACAATGCTGGGACCAAAAGGCTTATCGAAACTGGTGCAATCACACAGCGGACTAAGCATATCGATGTCCGCTACCGTTAGCTCCATGAGTATGTTTGCAATGGCCAAATTACTCTTACCTTCGTTGGTATGAATGATATGCTAGCAGATATCTGCACGAAACCTCTTGCTGTTCAAAGACACAGCTTTTTGCTTTTCTGTATTGGCCTTTCTACTTAGATACTTATTTTTTTTATTTGTTATTTTTTTTTTTTTTTGCTTTACAAGACTTGTATACTGCTACACTCTTTTCGTCGAAGGGGGATGTTGGACTTAGTCCCTGTCCACCGTACAGAGGTAGTTCTTTCTTTTCCTTTAGTCAAAAGACTTTTGTTTGTTTTCTCAATCTGTGACTACAACTGATCTAATTATAAGTGGTTTACCACATTGGGTACCTCTTATAGTTGGATGTCGGAATAAGGGTATCACAACTGCGTCATATTGAAAAGGTGGCTACTGCCTGATGTTGAAAGGTAGCCTATATGGTATAGGCCACAGTGTTTGGTGTGACTGCTTAGTGGATGTAGTATATTAGGATCTCTTCTCATTTTGCATTTGGAAAATCAAGCTTCTTCTCTCCTACTCCGGGAACACACACACTCACAATGGACGTGAGTGATAATAAGTAATTGATCTACCATATTGGATTGGGGTATGGTGGATTCTTGTTATATTCTGTGTGGAAAGGAGCGACGAAGGTGTATTCACCTGAATGGGATTTGTCATTGTATAAAAAGAATTGAATGTGTGTAGGGTCCTGTTTAGCTTGAGTGGCTACCTTCGAGTGCTAGAAGCATGATACCCTCCATCTTGATCTCAAACCGTGCCATCCTTCCCTATTCTCTATGGTCTTTTCTATAATACCTCTACTCCCTCACCCACCCCTCTTTCTGATATCGCAGTAAAGTAATTCTCCCCTCTGTTCTTTCCCTCGCTTGGGGCGGTTAGAATATGAGTCCACTATCAACCCCTTGTGATTGAGATATTGATACTTGGCTCTAAGGCGCAGATCACCTGCAACTAGCTATTTTCCAGCATTCCAAAATTGGATGTCTATTAAACGAGGGCTCATGAAAATTTAATATAATGCCCCCAGATTCCTAATACCGCCCGATACCCCAACCGGAACTAATAGAACTTGGTTTTAATTAACAGTAATCAACACAGGACGGAATCACTGAACTCCAACCTGTGCCGTACTAAAAGAAATTTGAAAAACCAGTCTCACTAATAACAGGTAAGCGAACCAACGCCTCTCTTCACATTTTTTGCCTTATCCATATTCCTCAAAGCTGTATCAACTCACTTCTATAGAGAGTAACACAATCAAACAAAGGGCACAGCCCCGACAGCTCCGGGATACCATGCAATATGAATTGCTGTAACAGCAAATGGGATACATCTTAACTCTCTACCAGGATCCAATTCGATACCTAATCATTACGTCTTAAGGAATTTACTTACAGCAGGATTCCTTGTGGATAGTGTCTGGCAGGAAGGCCTCACTCAAGTTTGCTGCTAGGGGAAACCCACATCCAATGAACAAAATCCGGCTTTGCCGATAATGTTTTGTCCCAGAGGCGCTGGCCATCGCCCCACCACATACCTGGGAATTTCAGAATAGTGCGGCCCGTAGTGCGCTTGCCAGTATTATCAATAATGATGTTCGCTGTTCAGACAGGTCAGATCAGAGTAGGCAGGTCCGTGTGTTCACAATAGATGGCTAAGTAAATTAGTCTAATCTCCATAACCTACTTGCAATAATTTCCAATAACTTACTGATGATGATGCTATGGCAATTGCACTCTCAATGGTCACCCCCATATTGATTCAGTAAGTCTTTGAACTACTTCTAACTGTTGGAAATCATGGATGCTGTTCGGCATGCTCAAGGCTTTGTTCTCTCGTCTGCCAGCATATTCGCCAGCCGGCATATCCGTCCGCCGGCATATCCATCCGTCGGCACCACTATCCGCCCGTCCACCCGCCATCGGTTCTGTTGTCGCCCGTTTGTCTGCCTGTCCGCATATTCGACGTACATTCCCGGGGCCGGCTGTTTGTCCGTTCCCGCCTGTTCGCTCCCCTCCCGCCCCTTGCTTGGTTGTCGCGGACGTTCTTATTGTGCGCTTTAGAGAAGCGCTTCCGACGGAGAAGGATATGAACGTCAAGGGAGTTATACCCCTTTGGGAGTCTTTGTTCTTGTATTTCTTTTGTTAGCACGGGAGTGTGGAAGACGGTGGGGGTGCGGGGTGCGGTTGGGAGTATGGAAGGCAAATTGGAGCATGGGAGGCAAATTGGAAAGTCTTTGGGGAGTCTGTTGTTTGCTCTCTCTTTTGTTAGCATGAGGAGCATACAGAGGTAATGGGAGATGAATGTGGGAGATGTTAGAGATACTTGTATGCAAGCGATAGCAGGAAGGATAGGATAGGTGATCTTTGTCGTCTATTTATACTCCTGTCTTTTCCTGTTAGTTTAGTTAGAGTTGAAGAGTCGTGAATCAGCAGAGTCGTGGAGCGAGAGATAGAGAGTCATCGAATAGAACAGGTTGTGGAGTGATCTTGGTGACCTTCCCCGCCTTTAGTTGTGCAGAGTTTTCACAGTGCATTTAGTGATCGTCGTTTCGCTTCACCATCGCTCGTTTGGTATAGTTCTAGCTCTGGTGAGCCTGTGGATTTCTATTACTAACTTTTGATCACAGAAGGAGTCTTGCCCATAAGCAAATGGCAGAGGGCAGACTAGCAGACTACATTTAAGAAAAAACGTAGAGGGGTAAAGAGTAGAGGGGTCGATAAGCTACCCAAGCCGAGTAAAGGCCAAACGCTTGCTCTGATTTGGAATATACCAGTATAGGGTGGGGGTTCGTCTTCGATCATGTGTTGGCCCGTTAGTTCAGATGGCCCACTAGTTTTGATATTTATTTTCCGGTTATCTTCTAGTGCCTAACTTACACAACTCCATTGCAAGAAAGTTTATGGAGTCGGTTTGTTTTGAAGGTTGGATGGCGCTGGGCCGAAAAGCCTTAGGGATCTTCACAGTGAAGCACTCGATCGACCGGGTTTTAAATCTGTCGAGAGGAGGATTTTCTTGCTAGCTTACATGTTTCCCGCTTCACTTCTGCTCCTCACCGACCCCTATTGCCCACCCCTCTCCCTGGTGCTAATGGAATTTTTGGATATTGCTTACAGTCTCCGACCAATGCTCGATGATGGAACTTTTCAAAAAGAAAGAGAAAAAAAGAAGAAAAAAAACAATACCTAATCTGATCTCGTGAAGGATATAATACTTGAGATGAGTCCTACTCACAGAGAACTGGGCGGGAAGGTTGATAGGGTGCTAGGGTGATATATGATCCCCTTCAAAGGTTATCACGATTTCTTTCAAAAGCAGGAGATACCAGAATCCACATCTCATATTTTCCCAGAGTAATACTTCCTGCCAGAGGGCCAAGGTACCGGTGGTCCTACTCTACTAACCCAATTTCAACTGAACAGGATAGTGGGATGGCTAGAATGGCATATAAGATGGTAGCTTTTGTGTTTTTCCCGGGGTTGCTCGTGGTGTGCGTGGTGGGTTAGTTATTTCGCTGGTATTGTGCGTTTCTCTTTCATGGATTATCTTGGGCCGGCTGTTCAGCTATTACTATTGCCTCTGTGTTCGCCCGTAGTTCCAGCCATTGTTTACTGTATATTGTACGGTGGTCGATACCCCTCCTTTGGCCGTATGGCGGTTTCTAGTACTTCATTATTGTAAATATTAAGATCCAAAGGGGTGAGAGCTCTAGTTAAGAAGTCATAAGCAATATTTTTGGCACCTTGTCCGATTTGGGATAGTTGACGGTCAATAAAACTCTCCCGAAAATTACACTCTAATTAAATAACAACCTAACTTACTACTATAGACACTGAGACCGGAAGGAATCTCTCCACTAGTGTTATCCCAAGGGCTCTAGCTAACTCACGACATGTTGATGTACACGTAGTCTACTAAATAAAATTCAAAAAGAGGTGGTGGAAAAAAAGTAGAAACTCCTATGACGCCATCAATAATCAAAGACTGCTGTAAACATCAACTCATGAGGCAGTTTTGACGCCCTTCTTTCCACGAAGAGACCCGAACTTCAACCGTTCCCTAACAAATCGGATCACAAGTCTTAACGCATCCTGCGCAACTCTATCACCCTTCCTTCTCATCCATAAAAATACTAGCCCCCAAAACACGGCCTCAATAACCAAATGCCGCCCAACGACGTAGATTGTCCACAGAACCCAATTCCGTAACCTTCCACGCCTCTCCCGGGCGCGAGCAGTCTCTAGCTGCTCTCTGAGTGCTGCAACCTCAGTTGCCATTTTGGCCAGTGCTTGTTCTACACGCCGCCGCCATTTGCGATTACTTCGGCGGTCGGTGTCCATGCCGGTGTCCTCGTCATCAAACTCTTCTTCGCCAAAGGGGTTGGGGGAGACAAGGCCAAGATGGTGCTGCGAATCACCACCGAAATCAGGATATGAGCCAGAAGGCATCGGAAGAAGCGCCGATGAGTGTTGAGCAAATGGGGAAGTAGATGAGGAAGGTGTGGAGAGGGAGGAGACGTTCGATTTTATTTGCTCCCAAACAAATTCCAACTCTGATACAAGCTCTCGTGCTTCGCTGGAATAAGTTTAAATCAGCATAAAGTGGGAAGCCGGGAAAGGCCTTGGGCTTACGGGGTATTCGAGGAATATTTATGCATCGTCTGACACATTCTATTAGCACTGGTCCCTAATTTCTATGACCTGACTACCCTCCCCATGCCCTACGCCAAAAAAAAAAAAGCAAGCAACGGACCGCAAACCTCTATCAGAGTCGTGATGTATTGCCTCTTGGCTTCGGTCTTGGAGAGTCCCGCTTGGCTATTCCATGCATCCCTGGAACTTTCGTTAGAACAATTTCACCCTCACGTTCGCGCAACGGGACTTAGGCTAAACCATTTATCCCTTTCGGCCTTCGATTCATTTCCGTACCCCGATGGTCGTTCCATAACCCCATTCACATTCCCCTCTGCCAAAAATCAGCGCCTAAGGTTAGAGCTCAAGCTATGAAACAACTCACCCATGCTCTGTTTGTAGAGCCCATATAGCTTCAGTCGATCCTCAGGCGGTGGACGCGCAGACCCGGTCTTGGGTATCTTCCGAACGGTCTGTAATGCATGGGCGAATACTCTGTCTGCTTTCCGTGGTTCAACGTCAACGAATTGGTGGACGCGCGAATAGGGGAAAGCTAGAGGGACCTACCGACGGAGTCCGACATGACCTGGGGAGGGCACAGGGGGATGATGTATATTCGGGGCTGTTGTTCCGGGCTATGATTCGACTGACGGAATATTAAGTGTAGAGGGACGGGGAGAAGAATGTTTAGTATCGGTCACCCCCAGATATGCGTGGGGGAAGCGGCTGGTCTATGCCTCGGTTCGGTCTGTGCCTAGAGAACGAAACTTACTAAGCAACTATTACCCGAGACTTGTCACGAGAACTCACTCGAAAAACAGTTTGTTTTGCCCGTAGAGAGATCGGAACTCAATTTATCTTGTGACAGAGTAACCTAACTACCGGTACCAAAATAACTTACCGGTACTGGAGTTCGTATCGTATCTCTTGGCTTGCATGGCCATCATTCGTCCCGGCTCAGTGATGGCGTCAAAACCCGACCACGAGACAACATACCCACCCCCCCCAGATTTCACCATTAAGTTAAGCTTAACTGCTCGTCATCAGACATTTACATTCCGACCCATGCCCCCTGGCATAATACATAACAATAAATAACTCCAACCCTACATGAAAACAATACCAATCCGAGTTAAAACCCCACCAACATCCTTATTACTATCCTAATCCCTCGAGTCACCAGCTGAGGGCTTCCTGTGCCGCCACTCACTCTCGTTCTCGGTCCCTAGGTTGGCACTAGTAGCTCTCGAATCTCTCAATCCACTTGACCTCTTCGGCGAATTGGCGTGCAACGGCGCGTACGTCTTCTTCTTGTTACTCCTAGGGCTGCTTTTGGGGCTCTCGATCTGGGAGTAGCGTGGCATATCGTGCGAATTTCTTGGAGAGTCGTTGAGCGAGATGGCGGAATACCTGGGGGCTTCCGACATCATTGAGGCGCGCGGCGAAGCAGTGGATGCAGCCTGTGGGTATGAGAATCTCATTGACTCACTGGGGGAAGGGACATCTATCGGCCTGGGGTGGCGGGTTGCAGCGAAAGGAATTGATTTTTGGGCTGCAATGGTCGAAGCCGAGATTCTCTTCGCAGGTTTGCGGGTGAGGCTTCCCTTGGGCTCTAGGAAAGGATTCATATCTGGGGGTAGATTCGCCAGGCGTCGGAAAGTGAGGATGAGGTAGATGGAGAACATCACGGAGATAATAGTAAGTCCACCGCTAACACAGGCATCGAGGAAGACAGCCAAGATTATCTTCTCGTCACTGCCATCCTTGGTGAAGATTGTAGCCCAGTCCATTTGATTACCTAGATTACGCTGCCTCCAGCTTAAAACTGCGATGAACGAATAGAAGGATATTATTGCGAGGTCGACTGTCGAAGCGAATAGGTAATAGCCTACAGTTGAAGAGGGAGTGCGCAACCGGTATGATCCTGAGAGGTGATATATTGAATAGACGATGTGGAATGTAGCTACGGCCGGCTGTGATGGGTTAATCCAGATCTTCACCAAGTAGGTGGGGATTCGAAACTCACTGGTGCACGGCATATCCATCCGGTAATCTCGTCGATCTTCCGCACGAATAACATACAAGTCAACAATCCCAATGCTCCAAATAGTTGAAATATCCTCAAAACAATTGACGAGGCCCTCACTGCCTTTATCGTTTTCTTGGGAGCTTTTGCATAACCCCTCTGCTGTGTTCTGTTGATTGACCGGTGCTGAAAATCGAGCTGGATATATGGCGCTGTCATTTTCGGTGGTGGAGGTAATGGCCGCGCAGCAGCCTCAGATATTCGCTTCGGATTGAAGGAGCGTAAACTCTCTATCCCCGGATCGCTCATGGCGAAAGGTAGGTAAGGGCGCTGAAGCTGTGGGGAATGCATGGTATAGGATACCGTATTTCTCTGGGGAGGGGGATGGGAGGAATGTGGTTGGCAGGATTGTATACGAGGTTACTTTACGTATTTAACGGGAGCAGTCAAATGATGAGGATAGGCTCTTTGTTATGGTGACATGGAAGTTGGTTGCTACGACGACGACGGTGTCAGCCATTGTACTGTGCGAGCACTGAACTGTACTACTCGAGTATGATAGTACCTGTAGCTGGCCTATGTGGCGCTGTTGGTAGGAAGAGCGGAGTTGCACTGTGGACTCCTTTTGGACACGGTACCATAGGGGAAATATGCAATGGAAAAGTGAAACCCTAGTGCAGAATCACTATCCCGTTGGCCCATTATCAAGGTGTGAAGAAAGATTTAGAATAGAGGATAGAGCGAAAAAAGGAAAAACGAGTACTTGTACTGTACGGTACAGCCGATTGTTATATTTTTAGAAATTTCTACCTTGGAAGCCTCTCTGTGTGGGCGGCTTTCACTTAAGGGCAGTATGTTTTGGTGGTTTGTTGTGTCAAGAGCCATTGGGATATTGCTAAACTTTACCCTACGGTATCACTCAGTTCGTCTTAAAAAATTGAGGGGATATTGAAAACTACCGGTAGGTCTCAAGGGGTCCTTGTATTTTTTTTTTTTGGCTACGATGATTTTTCTTCTTCTTTCCACAGTTTGAGCAATAAAAATACGGGCAGAAGCGAGTAAATAATTTGTCGTTTGTTGTATGGTAAACCCTGTGGAAGGTATTTCTGCAATGTTTCACTATTTTCGTGGTAAATTTCCTGTCCTCGTCGATGGTATCCGAGAGGGTTTGCTACAGTGCAAATGGGCTCAAACCGGGTCCTCAAAAGAGGCCAAACGCGATTTGTATCTAGTCAACCACAACACAGAAATTTAGAGAAAGGTTAGCACTGAGATAAAGTCATTTCTAAAGAGAACAAATAAGTGCTAGCTTTTTTTTAATTAAGTACCATAGGCAAGAGGAGATAGAAGACAAAAAGTGAAAATTTTGGTGAGAGTAAAACAAGGGACAGAATGTACACAGTGCTATGTTGAAAAATACTGTAGAGGTTGGAAGAGTAAAATAGCATGATAATAGATGAAGTGAAAAGCAGAAAAAATGTAGTAAAGCTTTGATGCATACAAGAAACTGTAGAAACAATTTACCAACAATTGTGAACAAAGTCAAGCATTACAAAAGCCATTACTATGCCACCAATACAGCAAAAACAAAAACACCTGCATGCTATCGGATCCCAAGGTGGCTTTTCCAAAAAGCTGCATCAACAATCCGCTCCCTTGGATTTCAACGAAAGCCAGGATGAGATTGCTGCCTGTTAGGCGGAGACAACTTAATAGACTTCTAGGTTGTCTAGGCCAATCAAGGTTCGTTTTTGTAGACGGAGATTGTCTAGGAAGGCTCGGACTTTACTTGTTTCGTTTATGACTACTAGGAGCGAAGTGAAATAGGTAAAGTAGAGTAGAATCGTAAAAACAATATTATATTGTTAAGGTCTCTTCTCTGTTGCTTGATGATGTCTAAAGCTTGAGAGGTACTTCGATATTTATATTCCATGTCTGAGTGTTCGTGGACTACATCTATTTATCATACAACTATGTACTTCTTCAATTGTAATTCGTGACGTTGAGTTTTCTTCCAAGGTGCAAACACATGTGGACCGTGAAAACCATTACTCCCTCTTTAGTAATTACGATATTTCTTCTTAGGAAGCATGCTGTCCCTAATAGTAATATCCCGATTAGCAGAGTCTTTAGACTTATGGCCTAGTTTTTAGGTCAAACTGAGTTGGCTCCAATTGTCTTCGCCATTGATAAAATAATCAGTTTTATCCACAGCTATATCTGCAAAGGTGGTCATCATTACAACTATCATAGGTCATCTGACTCCAATCCTTTGTAACTCCATACCCAACCGATAGATTTTCTTTGGATGACTTCCTATTAACTCACAGGAAGTCACTCCACTAGGCTGGTAATTAATCCCTTGGTTGGCAACTCTTGGTTGCTCTCTGGGTAATAGGTTTCAGTAATCATTGTAGTATTGAGAATCACCCCATGGCTACGACGTATTCTGAAACCCAGTTGCAACACTCCGTGAAGTTCGTTGGCTTCTTTGGTAGTGTCTTTTAGAGTTCTAGACTCTTCTGGCGTATGTAAATGTATTGGTCTCTAGTAGAGATCCTTTACCATTTGATACCATCTCTTTGTATGAAACTGTCCCATTACTTACGGTCCATGCCAAAGAAGTCATGTCTTTGAAGCCAAGTAACTCTCTGAGTATTTGACGGAATTACTCCGTTCCACTTCCCAGGCCTAGCCGAAGGTCCCCTCTCATATATTCTGCGAACAGGATCTGGTCGGACAGACGGCGACAACATATATAGTGTTATTCTAACACCTCCAATTCTGTAGTAATATAGTCACAGGGCGCAACTGAGATTAATATATATAATGACGCACGGGCCCCGTGAGCAAGCTGGAGGAGGGTGTTGGAGACCAGAGATTCCGATTCCGAGTGGGGTTACCCTACTTAGGGTGGTTCCTAGATATTAGGTTCTGGTATTCCTAACACTGCCATTGAAGGAGAAGAGAATGCAGTTCGTCTGGAAGAAGGTGTGGAAGCCATGGAGAATACACCTCAAAGGAGGCTGGATACGAGGGGTTATGGCTCTGCTTGTAGTCCAGATAGAATAAAAGGGCTTTCAAGGAGTACACTATGGCGTAGAGTACAGAAGGAGAGAGAGAACTAGCAGTAACAGAATACACTAGTTGGAGAAGGAATAGAGGCCAATTGGGAGGATTTAGAAAGCCATGTGGAGGAGAAATGGCCAATAGTGAGCAAGGATTTAAGGGCTATGGTTTTGACAAAAGGTATGGGCATTTCTGTTTAAATATAAGAATATTAACATACAAGAAAAGTAAATAAACTAAGTAATGTATGATTAGGAGTGATGGATATCCGAAGAGTACTAAGACGCAAAAAGAAAGCCATTTGCAGTATATCAGATCTTGAACGCTCTTTCTAAGTACTCCAGTTCATGAACTGGCAGTTGAAGTGTCCTGATCTTCCTCTCAAGATGGCAGTATTAAATACAGCAATTGGATGGGGATAGAGCAAGCATATGGCTGAGAGTATCATTTGATAAGAAAAGAACTGGATTAAAACAAGAACAATTGTTCTAAGTCAATGAGGAAAGCAGGCAAAGTCTCAAAGTATGCTGAATGATGAAGGTACCATGATGGCAGTCAAGGAGTATAT